CAGTTGCATCCCCCCTCCCTCCTCGCTAATTGTCCATTCACAAAACGCCATGTATTATTTTTAAAAGAATACAAGGCATTCTGTGAATGGACGAGAGATTATGTCACATCCCCGCCCATGCTCCCCCCTCGTCCAATCACAGAATGCCTTTTTTTTTTTTTACTTAGCAGGTAAAAAAAGTCCACATACATGTTCTCAGTCTTTGTATTTGGCGAACCACCTTGAGTTGCCTATTTAGGGAAATGTGGCAGGTTCTGCTGGAGCCAGCAGTAAATACCTGGTCTTCTGGGTAAGAAGGAGCATGTGGCCCCCACCCTAGAGGTAATGGTTCGGCCTAAAGGGCCGGTCGACGCATCATACGTGGAGATGGAGGAAGTTATCTCTGTGTAAGCTCACATATGAGTCTCTCAGATGGAACAGCTGAGGGGCATCAGTAAGTAGGGGAGGGGTAATTCTTCCAACAAATAAACCTGATGCTTTGCCCTGAACTAACAAGTGAAAGGGCTTCTTCAGTGTCACATTCATACAGTTTTAAAACTTTCTGCTTAAAAAGGAGAACTATGGGGTCAGTGTTTTTCCCCATAGTTCTCCTTAGGGTAACGGAAGGACATATCTGTTCGCTCACCTCCCGATCTACTGAGCCGACCTGTGACAGTCTCACTGTCACAGGTCGGCTAGAACTATGACGTGAGTGGAAATCACTCATCTCACAGTTCCCCTTTAATTATACAGACAAAGCCCCTGAAGAAAACCCCATGCAAACATTCAGCGACAATCCAAAACTGAATGGACAGTGTCCCCAGAGAACTGAACCCAAGACTCTAGCGTTGCAAAGCAGGACTGCAAAGAGCTCTGCCGCTGTGCCGTCCTATTGATATATCCATAACCAATTACAGAAGAAAAAAAAAGGCAAAACGCCTCTCTCTTGCGGATATAATTACTAAAAGCAATATCGCTGAGAGGCGCAGGACTTGCATCCAGCCACATCACTGGCCTGTCATTAGCCGAGCCACATGGTGCAGGATCAATGATGCAGTTATCTCTCCATTACCACGGATCTTCGTTAGAGAGCAGAGTGCTTGGCCTCCCCTCTTCCTAATCAATTTTACTTAGAACGAAGAAAAAAAAGAAGAAAAAAAATGGAAATTAGGCTGTCTGGCTCTCCAAAGGATACACGCATTAGTGGAGTGCGCCTATTAAGATCTTATGTTATGCGGATACGTCACCGAAGCACTAAAAGACAAGGGGGACTTTAGGGACTGTTCCACGGAACTGCGGGCAAACAAGCCGCTACAAAAAGATGGCTTGTGGGTAAATGGCATTTTTACATGGCCGTCTAGCAAGTGCCCCACCCACTTGGGTTTTAAAAAAAAAATACAGAGAGCCGTTGGCAAGCACACATTTTGAGCTAAATTGTAACATTTACAGACCAATTGAAGCCTTGCACCAGTTTGTCTATTTTTAGACTTTTACTGTTTAACTGATGCATGTAAAATATATTTTTCTTGTAGTGGAATGTGCTCCTTGGTGTTCCACAACAGTGCTCTATGCTAGCATAGGTGAGTAGTGGAAACACCCACCACCAAGAGTCCTCATACAAAGGGAGAGGGGGTGTGTCTGACCAGGTCTGTCAGTTTAGAGTGCACACTGGGGCAGTGTGGTCACACTCTGGATTACACAGTCATATTTAATCACACTGCACAGAAATGTGGACATAAGACTATGCAGATAGGGGTTGTTGGTACAATACCCATCAAACTAAATATCAGTTTCTAGAACGTTAAATGAGATCAAACCTAAAGAAATGAATGGATGCAACATTCTCATTTTTTTGCACATCTGCTGTAGTAGATTTTGGTTATTTCATTTACAGATTGGCAAGCGTCCCCTTTCGCAGCCATCTGTGTATTAGAGACAAGTAAAACCTTATAACCCATGTGTGCTTTATAGACAAGCCAAGCCTGACCCATAGACATGCATGGAGGGCAGTGAAGCACAGTCACTGTACAGCACTATTGAGCAGGGAGCAGAGCCTGTGTATGAAACAAGCAAAAATGGCTGCAATACATATATTTATAAACTATTTATTTTGCATAGAGAAATTAAGGTTTGAAAACATGATAGTTGAGTCAGATTATTTGTATTATCCACGTCACATTCTTATTTATCATATAGAGCTTGCCACATTTCCTCCCCAACCTTACTGTCCCTGGCCCACCTCTTTCATTGACTGGATTTCAGTACTTTCAATCATGGAGGCTCATCACATGTGGGCGTTAGTAGGGATGCACCGATACCGGTATTTAGTACCGATATATTTTTCCGGTATTCGGTATCGGCGAGTCCCATTCAGGAAGCCAGGCAGCGTGTAAAGACTCGCCACCCGGCTTACCGATTAGCAGTGAAGCCGTCCCCATGCTTCTCGTCACTAGGTGACCAGCATGGAGTCGGCTTTCTAGCCAATCAGGAAGCCGGGCAGCGTGTAATGACGCGCTGCCCGGCTTCCTGATACCGGAAGTATCGGGGTAGGCATCGGCACCGATGCCAGTATCCGTATATCCCTAGGCGTTAGATAGGGAGGTCTGCATGCAAATATATATATATTTATAACATTGCTTCCTAGAAGGAGGTCACATGCTCCCTCATACATGGACGCCCCACTTCATTTACCAAAGGATCGGAAAGAGGCAAAGTGACATTCTCTTAACACAAATCTTCCAGGTTGGTGACACTGAAATGAATGAAGCCCTAGGATCGGCATGACCGCTAGCATTTTTGAACAGATTCAGCAAGGGCAGGTTAGAAATTTCTCAGAACAGGTTTCCATTAAAACACCAGAGGGCGAAGTATTCACTTGTACGCCGTTATGTAAATATGGCATTTACCCAGAAGGCTCCCCTCCTCTTGGAGAGCCTTATTTGAATACATAGTCTTCTGTGCATATATTCCCTTCTCTCTCTTATTCCCCCTGCATCCTCTCCGTTTCCCAGGGGATATTTTATCAGCTCGCCCCAGTCTGGAAATCCATTCGCCACGGACGGAGGCTTATAGCTCGGCACGGGAACCCAACTGAGCATGTGCGCCGGGGATTGAAATACCAGAGAGGTTTGTAATCATAAACCCTACATTGTCCTTACATGCCTTCATCTGCCACAAGGCAGAACGCCAGATAAACTCTCGGGTCGGGTCAACGCAATTAACGTCAACACAGGAAGAAAAAAACAACACACAAGAAACCAAAGTGTATAACTAACCGCAGACTGCATTAAATGCATATGACACGGATTAAATGGTTTTTCTTTACATGGAGGGAATAAGGATGGAGTTAAGAAAACCACATCTGTCCGAAGGAAAAAGAAAAATCAAGAGAACCCAAAAAAGAACCGATAAGCAGATTAGGGCGCATTGTTGAATTTATATATGCAGCGCAGTTGTATTGTGCACAGCATAACAGAAAACACTGAACTGTTCACAAGGAGCTTACAATCCAAAATCCCCATTACATGATTGTACGATTAATCGGCAAGTAGGTAGTGCAACGTCCTTCCCGATCGGCTGAAAACACAGGGGGCAATTTATCAAAACTGGAGCTGAAAACACAGGGGGCAATTTATCAAAACTGGAGCAAACAGAATCTGGAGCAGTTGCCCATGGCAACCAAATCAGCATCTCTCTTCAGTTTGCTCAGGTAAGAAGCTGATTGTAGCAGCAAAATCTGGAGCAGATTTGCACTGTAACCAGTTTTGATAAAATTCCCCGTACAGTGCTTTGTTTAGGTAGTTTTTAAAGATCGAGGAGTGGCCACATGAATTTTTATCTGATTGTACAGTATCTGTACAGTAGCTGCAAAATCACCTTTAGGCCCCAGAGACTTATGATGCGTTCTGTGATTCCCATTCAGATGAAGCCACTGTACCCATTTAAGTTAACGAAAGGGTGACAGCAGCTGCATCTGTCAGTGGCAGTCCGCATGTAATCGTACATGGTACCATTACCTGTGGTCGGGAACAGACGATTGTCCCTGCAAGCAGGATGTGTGTCCAGGGACTATCATTTATCCCAAACCGCATGTTATCATACCATGTACATTTACATGAGGACTGCCGCTGACCGACATGGCTGCTGTCAACCTGTCAATAACTTCAATGGGTACAGCGGCCTCATCTCAACAGGGACAGCAGCAGCAGCAATCCCAGGAGACCTTTGTGAATGTCGCCTTAGATTCCCCAACTACAGAATGGCCAAAAGTATCTGGACACGACTCTAAATTACTGAGTTTCCATTGAAGGGCACTGTTAATACAACAGCATACAGAGACATTTTGAAGAACCAGGTAGTGAAGAACCAGCCATGAAGAACCAGGTAGTGCATTGTACGGTGGATGCACCGTACAGTATACACATGGAATACAAAAACTGCCAGAGGTGAGAGGCAGACGTTTTTGGCAGAAGAGAATTTACATGTCTCTTCAAAAAAAAAAAAAAAAAAAAATTCTAATTTCTAGCAGGTTTTTTTTTTTTTAAATTTAAGTTTACATTTGCTTTAATATGGGATTTCACCACCTGCCTTTTTTGCAGGGCCACTCTTCTGGGAAGCCTTCCCAGAAGTATTTGGAGTGTGCCTGCGGGAATTTGTGACCATTTGATTAGATTGTAAGCTCTCATGAGCAGGGCACTCCTGTATTAAAACTGTAGTCCCATGTTTCCCTCCATGTTGTAAAGTGCTGCGCAAACTGTTGGCACTATATACATTCTTTATAATAATTTGTCAGGTCAGATACCAGTGGTGGATGAGAAGACCTGGCTCATAATCACAATCAAGTCACTCAAGTTCCTCAACATCAGACTGGCCAAAACCATGTTTTTCATAGAGCTGGCTTTGTGTACAGTGGGGGCACCGTCATACCCTTCCCCTAGAAATAAAAGGACCTGAAAAATCCCCCACCAAAAAAAACCAAACACACACACACACACACCAAAAAACAGTCAGGATCTACTTACACAGTGAGGGTCCATGAAGCACTTCACAGTTCGGACAGTGATAGAGATCTATATCGGCTGCCTGGTGCTCCTCGACTTTTACACAGCTGTGGAGGGGAAAAAAAAAATAGGAAAGTTAATGACCCAATATACACACCTACAGAAAAGGGGTGAGAGGTCAATAAAGTATCTACATTATGAAGACTGTTCCGAGTGTTAACTGGAGCTCCACTAAGAACGTCTCACATATAAAAAGGACAACATAGTTAAAGTCTATCTAAACCCAAGAACAAAAATGTTATGGTTTACCAGCTCTTAAATATGGTGGCTGCATTAGTTTCCTTTTTTCAGCCTCTACCCCACTTTTATCCCCCAAATGGTGATCTTGCCAGTAACACACTTCCTGTCCTAGGGTGATAGGAAGGGCATTAGGACTACAGAGCACATAACCCTCTCAGTTTCTCCAGGACTATGATGGGAGGTGCTCTGTACTTCACAAAGACAGCAAAGAACAATGTAAATGACTAGGGACCCGATTTTTTTACGTATAGCTTTCTGGTCCAAAAGGTGGACTTATTCTCTAAAACTGAAGTCCAGGCAGATTAAAAAAACAAACAAAAAAACACACAACAGCAAACAGTTTACGCATGTATACCCACTTGCTGACCTGGATGTTACACCCCCTTCCTATCCAGGCCATTTTTCTGTATTCAGCGCTGCAATACTTTGACTGACGTTTATTCCGTCATGCAGCGCTGTACTGAAATTAATTTTATACCATTTTTTGGTGACAGATAGAGCTCTCTTTTGGTGGTATATAAATCACCACTGCGGTTGTTTATTTTTTACTATATAGTAAAAATAGTACCAAAAATGTTGATGAAAAACCTAGGGCTGCGGAAATTACCGACTAATTCCTCGATTAATCGTTAATTCTTTTGATCGGTACTCCCCTCTCTGCCGGCTTCTGGGAGTTCCTCCCCCCTTCCCCAAGTGGCTCCGTTCGCTAACGAAGGGAAGGGGGGGGGGGGAGAAGTCCGGTGACGTCGATGTCCATGACATCACCGGACTCCTCCCCCCCCTTTCCTCTCTACAACACGGGGGCCTCTCCACGGAGACTCACATCACGTGGGCCTCTGTACGGAGACTCACAACACAGGGGCTGAAACGAAACAAAAAAAACAACTTCCATTAATCTGCATAGAGTACAGCAATTTTAGAAACCAAGGTTCTAATCATTAAAGAGAACCAGTCGTTTCAATCCATTCAGGTCTGCTTAGATAGCTGCCCACTCCGCTGCAGATGCCTTACGCTCCATATCATGAAATAACCTGTACTCGGGGCAGCTGGTGCCCCCTGTGCTCTCTGCCCCTGCCGCACACCTCACCGTTTTGTTGCATGTTTCTTGAAGCACAATGACGCTCAACAAGAAGAATCCCAATATTTTCAGTGGTGCCCATTCACACCTAAGCATTATATCCATTGTAGCTTGAAGATGGATTAGGTACATTAGCTTCTAGGGCAGTTCTTGACCCCATAGATTTTAAGAGTGCACGATTTTTGCACCTAACAAGTGTCTGGTCCTGCTATTAATTGATTAAAAAAAAAAAAAAGTGCACTCATTTAAAAATCGATTAAAAAAAAATCAATTAACCAAACACGAAATTTTTAATTAGTAACAGTCCTAAGAAAAAAAACCTGTTCTTCCCTATGTTATAAAACAATTACCCAATTTTTTGGAAAAATATAAAAGATGGGGGTCACGTCAGGTAAATAGACACCAAACATGCCAAGCTTTAAAATTTCACCTAGGGACCCCCAAAGAAGCTGATGAAGCACAGATCTGCTTCACCAGCTTCTCTCTGGCTATACCAGTCAGAGAAATGACAGCTAAAGGCGGAAGTGATGTAATACACATCGCTTCCGCCTTTAGAGAGAACGGAGGAGAGATCAGCGGTGGGAAATGCTGACCTGTCCTCCGTTCTCTGAACGGGCAGCTGCCATGCCGGTCCTGGGCCCTCAGGGGGGACAGCGGAGCCCAGGATTACCGGCCGCGGTGGGGGATGGAGTATTACATGCGATCGGCCGGCTGTAGAGCACTCCCGGCTGTATCCTGCTCGGGGGCACGCACGGGCAGATAACAAAATGACGTACATTTACGTGACCCCACCAGGAAGCATCCGCCGTCCACCTGTTTTTTTTTTTTCAATGTGCGGATGGCAAGGGGTTAAACTGCGCATCTCCTGTAGTTATTATATCATTAAATGTATTTTTTTTTATTGGAAGCAGTTTAAGTGCCTGAATATGACCCGGTATCCGCCTCCTGTAGTCCCTGTACAGCTGGAGAGCACAAAGAGCCAATCAGTGCATGTGCTGACAAGGAGCATGCTGGTGGGAGTAGAAAACAGAGAGATGAGATCATCAATGTGCTTCCTTTTACTGCCCAGTCACAGGCTGGGGAAGGTTCCATGATAGCCTGAGCTCAGAGGAAGTGGGATGAATGAAGAAGTACTGCGGGAGGAATGGGCAGCTCTGGATTGCAGAGGAGTACTGCAGTAAACGCCGTTTTGTTTCCCTCTTTTAATAGGCTATTTTATTTTTGATTATTATGTTTGATCTTTATTCCGCTTTAAACTAAGCAGAACCCGGTCCAGCTACAAAAATAGCATGGCGTCTCCTGCATGACAATAAAGGTAGAGGATATTTGCGCTGTCAGAGGAGCATCAGAAAAAGGCGACATAGCCGGGGGAAAGCTGATGCCTCGCTTGTATAGGCGTGGAATGGCTGGGACAGCTCCATTTTGTCTTTGATCTTAATTACAGGAAGCAGTCTTCACAATGTAATTAGGGCAATTCCCATTAAAGAAAAGAAAAGGGCCGTGCAGACAGTACACTATATCACTGAAGCCTTTCAAGGACTACAGACTGAGGGAGGCGGACAATGAGATCGGCATTGTGCTATAATGCCGGGGAACTGGAGCACAATTACAGCGCTCGCTGCTAACAGCATGGGAGATTTTATTCCACTCATTCATACAAAGCCGGTATATTCTACAGCCCTTTAACATGAACAACCAGCCGGTCAAATCAGTCCTGGTTGGCAATAAAGCTTGCGATCTAATGGCCCTGCCACCGTTTATGTGCTGAAAGTGGATGTAAATCTGATCACTAAAATCTCAATCTTTAGCATTCAAGATTAATGCAATTTTACAATAGAATCCAATTAGAAAAAGTATAAATCTTGTGAGAAAACATTTAAAGATAGACCCTGAAGTGATTCTACCATGAAGGTCCTTATGTAGGCACTTCCTGTTATAGGGGGGCAACCCTCTCTCTGGTAATTATACCAGGGGTGGGCAAATTAATATGGAATTCAGGAGCCAGTCTGTCCAATCCAGCAGCCAGCAGGATTTTTTTTTTTTCTGGGGCCAGCTCCATTGACAATCACTGGAGAAAACCTCCAACGTTGGGTTCCAGCTGTAATTTTTAAGGAGCATTGGCTACCTGGCTCCTGGGATTTGTCCAGCCCTGAATTTTACACAATGATTTAGCAAACCAAATGTCATTCAGTTAGGGTTTATATCTACTTCAATGCCTACTTAGTTTACCTACGAGCCTCCGTCACCTGTGAAAGAGAGGACTTACAAACTCCATGCAGAACACATCAGAAGGCAGGGGACTAAACTAATAAGGCGCTATTCTGCCCAGAGCAGGTAAACTTATAGGAATGACAATTAATAAGCACTTTGAGGAAGTAAAGTCTTTATAAAGGGCAATAAAGACTCAAAACGGGAGACGACGACATTTGACTTCTCCTGCTGCATTTACTGGGTTAGATAAGCTCATGCCTATGGATGACCCAAGCTGCCATGGGGTATGGCCCCATTCCTGTCGGGACTGCCATAGTATCATCCTGATAAGCTGCCATAGGTGCTTTTCTCCCTGTTCTTCTCCACTGAGCAACCCCAGAGCTCTCTAAAGGCATTCCGCCAAGGTGAGGGCGGTTGGAGGGGGTCTGTCCTCCCAACCGGAATCCATAGTCAATATACAGCCTACTTGAATCCTGTGCTTTATCAAAGCAGGGCAAATTACCAGCACCTTTCCCATTATCCACCGGGAGCTAAGAAAATACCCATAGCTTCCAGATATGGGGGAGCACCAGACAATGCTGGTGCTTGGCAGTTGCCCCCGCACTGTCACATAGGCACAGAAGAGAGAAACACTGAAAACGTAGAAGCAGGACTGCAGAAAAAAAACAAGGTGGTCCATCAAGTTCCAACTAGAACAACTCGGACACACAGAACCTCCTTTACTCACTATGGCCCTATTACTGGGCAGGGGGAGCTTTAAAGTGAAGCCGTCCCCAAGCTTCTCATCAACAGGTGACGAGAAAGCATGGAGCCGGCTTTCTGGCCAATCGGGAAGCTGGGCGCGACATCATTAAACGGCACCCGGCTTTCTGATTGGCCAGTTTCCCAACCAATCAGGAAGACTGGCAGCGTGTAATAAATCGCTGCCCGGCTTCCCGATAACGGAAGCTCAGGTATCAGAGCATTTGGGCCAGTACGAGTACTGGCCCAAATACTGGGCATCGGCACAGATTCTAGTATCGGTGCATTCCTACTTATTATTCTGTAGTGCACGATAAGAACTAGGATGGCCAATTACAAAATACTTGAGACAACACAGGAAGTGTGCACAGGACAGCTCTGAATTTCCGACAATCTACGGTACATTTATTTCCCCCCCCCACACAGAATGCATTCAATGATGTACCATACAGACTGAAAGGGGGCAAATAAATGAAGTGCATGTTTAGGGTTTACATACACTTGTTGCTTTGCCCTGCAGGTACAAAAAATCCAGCTGGCCAATAATGGCGTGCAATGCTCAAAATTATAGGACAGTGAAGCTAACTGCACATGTTCAGATAAATTTGAAATAGACATAAAATCAATGTCTTTTGTAAACTGTATAAAAAAATTGATGGAAGTCAAGGATGGGTGACACGGAGGAAGAAAAGATTTCCCTGGAGGGTAGAGGCCTTTTTAAATGTGTGAAAAGAAATGGCACTGGAGCTCCCCTTAAGTCCTTTTCACAGCAAAATA